TTATAGGGACAGTCCCAATTTTGGGGGCTTTTTCTTATTTAGGCACCTATTATCCTCCACCCCCGTCCCGATTGTTTACACTTGCTATCTGGTCACCCTACCTGAGGGTGCTCAACTGAGACCCATCAAACTCATTTCACATAGGCCACAAAAAGAGCTATTTGCAAGAAGGAAACAGACTGACAGAGAAACTGCCTGGTTTTTGCAAAACCTATATCCTTTTTCTCTCATCTGCTGAATTTTCTTTCTGCTTTAAGATGAATGGTTTGGACACGTCTGAAGTAAAACAAGGCAAAGATAATCTGCTTTTTTAATGATGACCTGTTTCTGAATGCCCTGGCCTGATTTATGAAAAATGAAGTAGATGTTACACCGTGTCTTGGTGCTGCTCTGTTGGCATTGTGAACAAACTGCAACCTAGCCATTGTGCTTATTCATCCAAAGGGCTGGCTGGGAATTCAATGATTAAATAATTATTGCTTTCTTCATTTACAGAGCAGTAAACGGGAGAGATTGGGTAACCAAACCACTCAGTCTCTCCCTGCCTGCCTGCATCTGTTTCTTTTTATAAATTATAATCTTAACAGCACAAGATCAAGGTATTTCTTTAATCATTCTTGCAGTAGTGTTGGGGTTTTGGTTTACTCCCTGCTTATGATAACCCTGGGGAAGCCAGAATTGAAGTCTGTTTTCCTGCCAGCTTTATTTTCTCTCTCCATTGCATGAGCATTAATGAATTTAAAATCTGACAGCCTGATTCTCCTCTCACCCTGTTGTAAATCTGGAATAACTCCATTAAAAGGGAGAGATTCTCACCCCCACTCTGGTTCCTTTATGCCGCATTTATTTATTTATTTATCCTTTATGCCTTTATTCCTTAAAGATGCCCTCAAAGCCCTATATCCTGCTGGGGAGGATTCCCCTGGTGCAGGCACGATAAGGCTGCTCCCAGGGACCTCCTCAAGCTCCTCAGTGCTGGGGCATGGCAGGGGCAGGGCTGGCAGTGGGAGAGGCATGCTGAGACTGCCGAGGTTCTGGGCAATGCTGCCACACACAGGACAACTCAGGGAGGCTGCTGTAACTTAGGCCCCTGGGCTGCAAGCTCCAAAGTGCAGCTCCTAGAAGTCCAGCACAGAACCTCGCCCCGGGTCTCACTCTCAGATCAGTGTCAGAAGTTACTCATACCCAGGAGCCACTTGGGGGTCTAGTCCCAGCTCTGTGGCCTTGGGAGACACTTAGCCTCTCTGCCTCAGCTTCCCCCCTCTGGGAAATGAAGATACTTGATTAATTGCCTCCCCAAGGCATGGAGTTAATTAGTTAAGACTACGTAATTGCTTAGCATAGCTAATCATAAGTGAGACACTGGAGTTGTAAGCTAATGCACTGGCCTCAAGTTTGAGAAAGGAAAATCCCCATTTATAGGCCATTCATTGCAGTCGGTATCCAGCCTTCAGTGTGCAGAGGCAAGCTAAGTATCTGAGGCATTCAGTTCCCCGGCTGATTATTTTCCTCAGATCCACCTCAGCTTGAACTTTGATCTGCAATGACTCAGGTGTAAACGAGTGCTTTGAGGCTTTGTCTAATTTTTCTCCTCACGGGCATCCCAAGGAAAAGAGAGAACCAGCAAGCAGCAGATGAAGCTGGTTAGCACACCAGAGATTTTCAGTGTCAGAGCGTCACTTAAAACACACCGAAGGATTAGGAGGAAAGTGCAGTGCTAGCAGGAAATAGAAGACTCTCTCCTGTAGAGGCGAGGTAACTAAGGTGAGAGATGGAGCAGGAGTACCAGTCACTGCCTGAGGGCCCTGTGCCCTCCTGTCTGGCAGACAGGAGATTGGAGAATAGAGGTGGGAAGAATGATACAATTCATGTGAGTGCAATACCCCTGGGGCAGCACTGTGCCCCTTGTACAGATGCAAGTGGAAGGACTGCTCTCTTCCTGTGCCCTGGGGATGGAATCTACCCTACAGACACAAGAATCCATCCATGCAGCTACAGGGAGGGGACAAAAAAATGTGGAAATGGTTTTGCTATTAAGCCCTTTGTATTGAAAAACATAATACCAAGGATGTAAATTGTGCCACAAAAGCTGGCAATATTTAAATAACATTTAAATTCACTCCACATTTAAACAGAAAAGTAGAAAACGGCATTAAATTCAGATAAGTGCAAGATTATGCATTCAGGAGTCAGAAATATTAAATATATCCACATAATGGAAAAGAAGGTCTGGCTGGTAATGGATTGTGAAAAGAGTTCAGGGTTTTAATAGATCATTCCTTCAGATCATCAGCACTGTAAAGTGGTAGTTAATAAATTATTCGACATGTACATTTACTCATATATTTTAACTAGCTGTAATGAACAGGTCTTGTCGGCTCACCTAGACTCCTGCAATAGCTGCCAAAGCGCTTGAGTGAGATTTAGTAACTCTCAGCAGTATTGATAGCCAGGACTACAGGTTATTATGAATAAAGTGTTGTCAGAAATGGCTTGGAAAGGACATTGTGTCCGACCCTTGTCAGACTCACAGTATTGAGGTAGGCTTGGGTTATGCTTCCACCCTGAGCTTTTGGATGGCAGATCCAGCTGAGGTCAGCTGCAGACTCACATGACCATCTGTTTCTTGGTAGATCCTAGCTCCGCTAGCGTAGAACCTTTTGATATCAATCCATATGGCAAGTCAGGGGCAGCCTAAGAGATAAGTTAAGTAGGTGGTTGCCTAGGGTGTTATTTTTCAAGAGCACAGTGACTGCCTTGGACACTCATCAGCTGGCCAGTCCCACGCTCTTGTTCTCCAGTTAGAGTTTCTACCCATCCGGTTCATCCTCCAGAGGGACAGGAGGTTTCTGTTTCTGCTCAGTTGGCTGCCGCAAGTCCTTGGCCTCCCAGAATCCTTTGAACTATCAGCTACCACACCTCTTTCGGAGCACTGCTACAGCCAAGGAATTCTGGGTCACGTTTGAAGAAGTAAAGGCATCTTCTGCAGATGGTTGAGCAGACACTTTCTTCTTCTAGAGGAAGAAATGATACAAATAGAGGATCCGGTTGGTTACTGAGCTGGGTATGCTGGTGGGAAAGAGGGAACAGAAATTGATGGGTGAGTCATTGCCCAATTCTGTCTTTGCCTCCCGTGTCCGGGATGAGGACATTCGGCTTCAGGCTTGGGTTTACAAAACCAGGGGTGGTTTAGACAGGAGTTCCATTTCATTTGAACTGCCAGAGTTCAAAAGTGATTCAGAATGAAGTCTGATTCTCCCCCATCTCTTGATGAAACTAATAATTTTTATCATACAACACACACACACACATCCCCCTACCTTTCATGCTGTACATTAACGAAGGCACTATTTTATTCAGCTTTTTAAAATGCAAAAAACAAGTGCTCTCTATTAGGGAGAGGTTGAGGGGAAATGCTAATATCAAATAATCCTCAGGGTGTGTAGTCTTTCAAAGAACTGCCTATCCAGTAAATTATAATAAACCTGTCTGGACTTGTTTCAGTAAAACTTTTTTCAATCCGATTTGAGTGCTTTTTGTATCAAGAGAGATTTAAGACCTCACATTGATAAATGGAGCCCTATTGACACTATGAATACATGCTTCCAAATATGGATGGATTAGAAAACTCCATCTCTGTTGAACAACAAAATACCATTTTTTGTTTGCTTTGCATATGCTTGTTTTATTCTGCGGTACTATCCTCAAAATGTATTCTTATCCCTTAAGAAACTGAAAAAAAATGTTTCAAGGCCCCCAAACGTAGCCCTATTTTAATCACAGCTCCACCATCACCAGCATGTTGGGTTTGTTTTGACTGTGAGTGTCCAGCTCTATTTCTTTCCTATCCCTCATTAGGGACTAGGTCCTGTAGTCCTTACTCATGCAAAACTCCCACTGAAGTCAAAGATAGCAGGGCTGGACCATCCTAGAATATTCTACAAATCACTTGGATTCTGTATGATGCAGAATAGAGTTGTACAGGACTTTTTTCCTTACCAGAGGACAATATACTGAACTAACTTTTCAAGTTCCCAAATATAATTCCAGGGCAAACAACGGTAGGTTAGCATCACCTGAACAGAGCCCAAAGTTCATCCAAACTATGGAAGGCTGGGAAGCAATAGAAGAAGGGAGAAATGCAGTACAAGAAGAGGGAAGTGTGATGGGACCAGAGGAGCTGGGGGTGTTCAAAAAGTTGCAGAGGTAGTGGGAAGAGGACCAGGACAGGTCACAGAGAGGAGAGAAGCCACAGAGGAAGCATAGGAGGTCCAGAAGCTGTCCACACCACTCCACAGAAATGCACAGAATGCTCTCACAGACGTGGTGAGGACCTCAGCTTTGTGTCTTCTCTGAAAAGTGGCACTCCCAGAAGCACAGCACCCCTAATGCCATGCCTTGGTGTTGGTCCAGTACTGATTCAGAGGGAAAGAGCACTATCTACTGAATCATTAATGCTGCTTCCTGCAATACAGCAACCATCATCACCACTCTAAGGACATCATTTCAGAATTGATCAGGGAAATACGCCTCCTATTGAATATCCTGTGCAGGCACCCGTACATCTGATTTTCCTCATGTTTACGTTCCATTTCCTTAGACTCACCCCAAACTGGAGGAGGGGGAGCTTAATACCATCTGTGTGATTTAGTGGGGGATGGGACCATGACTCAGTGGACTTCCATCAGAGCCAGAACAAGTTCAGAGCCAGAGGTCCTAGTGGTGGGGCTGAGAACTGAATGGAGCTGTTCTTTTATCATCGCTCCCACTGGAAATATTTATAGCAGGAAAAGCCTATTTGCTCGCAAGTATTCCTAAACTATACAGACTGCTAATGGCAAACCAGGCACCTTTTCTTTTTGTTGCTAGTTGTCCTCAGAGTTTGGAACTAGTTCAAACCCGAATCTTATCTCTCCCTCCCTCCCACTCACTCAGCACGGGGTGAGCTTTATAATTTTGTACAGAGACTCATTAATTTTTTCCCCCTTTCCCTTTTACAGGTTTCTGACAGATGTGACTATGTCTTTGTCAACGGGAAGGAAATGAAAGGCAAAGTGAATGTCATCGTTAATTTTACTTACCAGCATCTGACTGCCCCACTGGAAATGACAGTCTGGGTTCCTCGCCTCCCACTGCAAATAGAGATTTCTGACACAGAACTAAACCAGATCAAGGGGTGGAGGGTCCCTATCATTTCTAATAAGAGGTAGGTTTCATTAGTGAATGTTCAATCTGGGTTGTTCATGTGCCAAGCGGCTGACTGGCCAGCGGATCTGCACACACTCATTTGGCCTTAATGCAATTCCGGTGTAAACCTGAAGGTCACCAGACATTTATTCAATCAGCTGTCGCATTGTACTTATTAGGGCAATGGAAACCTCAGGTTGCATGGATCTGCACTGAAAATCAATTTCCTTTTATAGCACTAGTGTCTTAAATGGAAATAACTTGTTGGCGGGGTCCGTGTTTTCACTTGTGCCATACTACAAGACATCAGCAAAGACCAGATCTGTCTGGTCTGAGGCCTGGTAAATGGGATGCCATTGCTTAATTTATTATTAATGACCATTTATTAAGGATAATAATTACTAATTGTGTTTGCATCACTTATATATTCCATATGTATATTACAGTAGGCCCAAATCAGGATCAGGGTCCTATTTTGCTAGATGCTGTGTAGACACAGTCCCTGCCCCACAGATCTTACAGTCTGTGAAGACAAGTGGCAGATGAAGGATGGGCCAGAGGGATATGGGTTTATATACACTGACAATTTCATTAATTACTATTATAACAAATCGATAAAGTAGGTGTGAACTATTCCCATCTGCCCTTGATTTATTGACTGGTTTCCTTGAAGCATCACAGTAGAAGGGTTCTGATGGAGGGATTTGAAGGCATGGCCTTGCAGACCTATTCAAAGAGGGGTTTCCATGCGTTAACTGGCAGCATGGAGATATTGGTATGGGCCGCTGATAAGAACGCGGAGGAAATATTCATGTCCATCGCTAACAAAAGCACAGACAAGTCGGGCATCATAGACAGAGTGGGGTGAGTCATGGGATAAGAGGTGTGAAGGTGAAGATGAAAAGTTTGGACCTGCCATGGGGAGTCACTGGAGGGATTCCAAGAGGCATGGGGTGGTCAGAGGCACAGGCAAGGAAGGTGACTTTAGAAGCTGCTTTTTGTGTGAACCAGGGGCATGGTGCTATAAAGATGAAAGAAACTAGGAGGCTACGGTCATCCTGGGGGGAGATGTGGGAATATGACTTCTGTCAGAAATGTTCTAGAGGAAGAAGCTGCAGGATTGGACATAGCCTGGGTGGGCAGGGCAAGAGAGAGGAACGAGCTGAGGAGATACCCCAGCTCCCTGTTTGGATCCCTCTATCAATGCTTAACAACCATTAATGCTTAACAAACAGCCAGGCACATAGCCTCGCACTCCTTCCTTGGGTTGCTTGATTTTTTTTCTGCTGCTGTTTGCCCAGACCAGCCCGAGACAGCGACGACGAAGAAGAGGACGAGCGGAAGGGCAGAGGCTGCACCCTGCAGTACCAGCACGCCATGGTGCGAGTCCTGACACAGTTTGTAGCTGAGCCCTCCGACCCAGGTGGCCAGCTGAGCTCTTTGCTAGGCTCTGACTGGCAGGTTGATATCACGGAGCTGGTGAGTGACTTCATGCAGGTGGAGGAGCCCAGAATCGCCAAGCTGCAAGGTGGACAGGTTTTGATTGGACAAGAACTTGGAATGACGACAATCCAGGTAGGGAAAACTGGCTACTGGGCTCCCCCTCCTCCTTCGCCTTAGTGTACCAGGCTTTACCCTGTCCTACTGAGAACAGCACTCAGCGGTCATCACCAGGGGAGTCCCTACATTAGGAATAGAAGCATAGAAATGGGGTCAAACCAATCTCTCCCAGATCCAACATCCTCAGACCTGGGGCGGGACGGAGGATGAAATCTAAACCTGGATCCAGATCTGCATTTAACAAGTTGTTTTTATCTTTATAACTGGATACACCAACCCCACCCTCCCACCTCCCACCACCAGAGCTGAACGCTTCAGGTGTCAGGGCTTCGAGGGACTCTCTTAGATAGGAAGACAGGAATTGGGGTATCGGGAAGAGACTACAAAGTTTTTTCACTGTTACACTGGGTCCTGGGTTTGAATCTGGCGGGGGTTGGTAGTATCTGAAAGCTTTTGCCATCCGGTGCCTATTTGGAGGCCTATGTCAAAAATGAGTGGTGTTCTGAGTCCACTGGGCACTGTGCCCACATCATCAAAAACACCGTGACTGGCACAAATGTGCCCCCTTGTTGGCAGTCTCATTGGAGACGCCATGGACTGAATGGAGCCGAAGGCTGAGTGACCCTCTTCCCCTGAGATGGTGAACCTTTGAGTCAGGGTTGAGGCACATGGGTAGGGAAGGTTGCATGGACAGTGTCCAAGCTGTGTCTATTCTGAGGCTAATGAGAGGATTTCAGTCTCAAGGGCTTTCACCAGCCTACAGTCACACATAAAAACTAACATTTTAACACACAGGAATGCAGCCATTGACCGTTGATCACGCATCTAGCACAATGTCCCTTCTGCAACAGAAGCAAGGACCATATGTTTTGGCAGAAAGTGTAAAAACCTACATAATAGACTCACTAGTGCAATACTCTACTGGGTGGGGGGATGGGACAGGCTACTTTCTCTTCCCAGCTATTGATCAGCCTATGCCCTGAAGCATGTGGGTTGCGGGCTTCAGTAATTTTTCCCCAGTGCATGTAACATCAGAATCCATTTCTGCCTATATTTGACTAATACTTTTTTGATACCAGATCCACAACTGCAGATATCACAAGGGAGGCTGCTGGTGAAATAACTTAATATTGTCAGGGCCTAAATTGACAAAGCAAGGCACTAAAAATTTTATTAACTAGGGCAGGTTGAAGAATCAGGACAGAAATATGAAAGGCTGGGATTGAATTTATTTAAATTCAAGTTGTGTTACAGGATATAAACGTTACAGGGACAGGGACACCCACAGAGCAGTAATAGCAATCAGTGCTCAGATAATATTTTCCAGCCAAGCGTCTCTAGGTGCTTTAGAAAGGATGAGAATAAGTGTCATGAGGCCAAATTCTCTGTTGATGTAAATTGGTGTGGCTCCATTGACTTCAGTGGTCCTATGCCAATTAACACTAGCCGAGAATTTGGACCATTAACTCCATTTTACAGATGGTGAGACTGAGGCATAGGGCAGTTAAATGACTTACCCACGGTCACACAGAGAGTTAATGGTGGAGCCAAAAAAACAGAAGCTAGCTCTGCTAGCACCTGTTCTGGTAACCTATTCACTGGATGGGGAAGCGAGGTCCCAGAACTGAAAGGATAAATCTCCTATACGTACTCCCAACTAGACAACCTATCAGCAGGCACTGGGGCTAAAAGGGAGATAATCCCCTCATCTTCAGGTATGCTCATGACCCCAGACTTTCAGGACAGCCCCTTAGATATCTGCATCTGCACGTGTTGACCGCACTGATTGTCAGTCCTGGGGAAGTGGGCTTCTGGAGCTGCTACGCCAGGGAGCCTCAATGAAAAGGTCTTTTTTGTAGGCCTCCAAGGCTCTGGGACTTGCCGTGCTCACTACAAGTGCACATAAATATCTTGAGTGACTCTGAAAAGGGATTTCAAAGGGAAAGAAACCAATAGCCCGGTAGATTTAAAGAACCTATTTGGCAAAGTGTAGCCCACCACACAAGCATCGCTAAACTAAGCCCCCTTCGAAATGCAGGTCTGGGGTTAGTGGTGTCTCAGTCTGGCAACTTCTCCTTTCAGTGTATTGAGATCCCTTTTAGTCATAACGAGCTTCCTTTGTATGTTTCCCTCCCATTGTCGCAACAGTCTTCTGCAGTGTGATCTTATCCTTTAGTTCCCCAGGGCAAGAATTTGGAATGAAACTCATTCTACAAATTGTCTACAAATTGTGTTGTGATATTTAGACTCTTAGTAAAAGGTTTTCCTACCTCTACCCCTCCCACCCATACTTTTTAAATTATTACCACTATTAAATTGCACATAACATTACAGTTACATTTATAATGAACGTAAAAAGGGTTAATAAAGAGAGTTGAGTGAACAATCGATTTTTCAGCGTGGTGGCTGAACTGAAAAATCTGGAAACCAAATCGATTACTTTGTAACTGAAACTGTTTTTATCACAGAAACCAAACCCCCAGAATGCGTTTAGTTGAACGAAACATTGCAAATGCCATTTGGAAATGAGATTCCAAATGGTTTGTTTTGAAAATGTCGAAACAAAACGTTTTGTCATTTCCGAGGCAAAAAATATTTTTGCTGGCCGAAACTATTCACTGAATTTGACCTGAATTCACAAATAATTTCGGTGACCCAAAATGTGTATTTTTAAGTGAATTTACTACTTGCTGAAAAAATATCACCCAACTTTATTAATAAATGATTAATAGATGTTCTAAGCATGTTACAGATGTGAATAGCAGTTACAAGCGCATTAGTAAAAGGCGTTGTATATCAGGGATGGCCAACCTGAGCCTGAGAAGGAGCCAGAATTTACCAATGTACATTGCCAAAGAGCCACATTAATACATCAGCAGCCCCATCAGCTCCTCCACCTCCCCGTTCCCAGCGCCTCCAGCCCATCGGCAGCCCCGCCAATCAGCACCTCCTCTTCCCTCCCCGCACCTCCCGATCACCTGTTTCGTGGTGTGCAGGAGGCTTGCAGGGGGAGGTGGGAGGAGCGAGGGCACTGCAGACTCAAGGGAGGGGGTGGGAAGGGGTGGAGTGGGGGCAGGGCCTGTGGCAGAGCCAGGGGTTGAGCAGTGAGCACCCCCCCGGGCACATTGGCAAGTTAGCGCCTGTAGCTCCAGCCCCGGAGTCGGTGCCTGTACGAGGAGCCGCATATTAACTTCTGAAGAGCCGCATGTGGCTCCGGAGCCATGGGTTGGCCACCCCTGTCGTATATGTTCGTAAGCAGCCTATTTACTTGTTGGACTCTATATCAGTTTATGACAATTGAGTCACCATTTATTAACCTATCCTTTATTATAAATGTATAAAGATAGCCTTGATATTAAATGTGTGCACGACTTAATAGTACAAGTGATTATTTATTTGCAGTAGCACCGGAAGGCCCACTGGGGATGCCGTTGTGCTGGGCGCTCCACAAAAACATCCAGCACGAATAGCGCTTTCTCTTTTCAGATACTGTCCCCTCTTTCGGACGCCATCTTGGCTGAGAAGACCGTGACCGTTCTGGACGAGAAGGTGACCATAACAGACCTCGGAGTCCAGCTGGTAACTGGATTGTCGCTCTCCCTGCAGCTCAGCCCAGGGAGCAATAAGGCCATCTTTGCTACAGCAGTCGCACAGGAGCTTCTTCAGTCACCAAAGCAGGTACAAGGACCCAGCGCGTGCGCTGTGCCCTGACAGGATGCCACTTCTGAGCCCCGATCTACTCAGCATTTTTCGCCAGCTAAGCTGATGGGATCAGGTGGCCTTTTGTTAATAATATTCTAACAAAACATTGTAATTTATAGGCACCTACAGCTGAAGGTCACCAGGCGCCTTAATAGAAAAACAACGTTCCCATAAAAAAAAGGCAATATGTCTGTAAAACAAAAATCCCAAGCGCCAACAAACAAACCCTCTCCGTCTCTTCAGTTCACAGCCCATAAATAACACAAAGTCCCATAGACGACCCAATCACATGCCATAAATAAACGAACGTAACCCGCCCATCCCACTGTTGGGCTCTCTGGCCCCATTTATTCCATGCAAATTAACACACCACCCCTCAAGCTCCGGCCAGGGCAGACATCTATGTATGCACCAGTCTGGAGATAAAAAAGGAAAGAGCTCTGTATTTCCCCACAGTAAAGTATTGTGGTCCAGTTTCTCTCATTCATACTAGAGTAACTGCCGGTGTAGGCGGAATTATTCCAGATTGACACTGGTGCAAATGAGAACAGAGCAGGGTCTCTTGTACTGTAAACTGCTAACAGATGGGGTTGGTCTTGCTATAATGCCAGACTCCTCCATCTTTAGTTACTTGTTATGAGTATTTCAAATGCCCCTGAGAACCTCCTGTTCTTACTGACCCATGTTATGGAGGTTTCTTAAGCAAGGACTGATTTTTCAGTCACTCCTTGTCTCCTTTGTCAGGGCCCACAAGGTTTCTCACTTCCCTTCTGCTCTTCCCCATCCCTTCAAAAGCTCCTGTTTCTGATGAGGACAGTTGGGTAGTGCTCCCACCAGGGTCCACCAGCTTTGTTCCGGCATTTGCTTGAGCATTCCCGTAAGAGCAACACCAGATATTTCCTCCTGTCTGAGCTGTGAACTCTTGCTGGTCCCAGGAATGCCAGACTCAAATTCCGATCCAGTGTGATGCTCAATCAGTATGCTGCTTTCTCTCGCACCCTTACTTTGAAACCGCTTTGTTGGGGACCTGAGTGCTTGAATCACATGGTCTACTCATGCATTGGCACGCAGCAGCCCTGCGCTGTCCGCATTCACACAGCTCATTGCGTCTAAAACACTGGATCATTTAACAAATTTGCCATCAGTGACTGGTTGATCTTTGTTCTTTCTTATGCTTTAGTCTGCATTTGAAATTATTTATTTTTTTATCCCAAAGTCATCAATGGGTTTACACCAGGGAAGACCATGGAGTGACACAGGACGAATTGGGCCCTTTATGTTTAAACACATTTTGTGCTTTAAAGGTAAATGATAAAGGTAAATACATTTGAATTCTGGCCAACTGGTGAGAGACTCTAATTCATCGCAGGGCCTTGTCCTTAAGCTGGCGGATGAGAAGTAACATGGGGCTGCTGTCTTTTTAGCGCAGTATAAATCAGGTTTCCATAGACTTCCAAGAGCGAAGAAGATGATGTCACGCAGCTAGAAATAGAGCCAATGAGCTAACCCATTGCTGGCATGTGGAGCTAACCACACTACCTTGAAACCAGCTCAGAAGCTGGGTCTGATGGCATTTAGCCCTAGCATGCTACACCACTCTGACATTTCCGTTCCAAGAAATCAAGTCTCTTTGAATCCCTCTTCTGGGTGCAGTGTCAGACACCCTCGGAATGCTGACAAAAATGTAATAAACCAGAAATGAAAACATTCACCCTGGCAGGGCTGTACGAGTTTTGATCGGCTCCTGATTACTCCCATTGCTTAGCACATTATATTTCAAAGCACGTTCCCAGTAAGGAGGGCAATGTGAAATTATTAAGTGATTATGCTGGTTTAAGCAGCACAGAGGGAGGATGAGAGCTGATGTCATAAATTCCATGTGGCCTTCAAGAAACATCTGAAGATTAATAAACACACAGCCAGGATTTATGACAGAGTCAGCAAAGTCTTAGGGCTGGGTCCTGAAATAAAGACACAGGCAAACCTCCCATTGAAGATGCTGGGAGTTTTGCTTGAGTAAGGACTTCAGAATCAGACCCTTAGTTAAAACAGCAGAGAATCCTATTACAGTGTAGGCTGTTATCTCCTGTGACCTGTATGGGTGAACCACTGGCACACCATGATTTTAAAAAAACAAAGAAAAAGGTTTCCTCTCCACAAGTGCATTAAGTTGGGATGAAAAAACAGCCTGTTGTTTTGTTTTATCCTCCAGGTCCATCATCTACTCTTTAAATACATATATAATAGGCAGATGGTGGAAATGGACTCCCAATGGAGCTATACTGATTTACACCAATTGAGTATCTGGAGTGGGTGTGTGCATGTGCCGACCAAGCTTTTTAGAAGCTACTAACAATTTTGAGCGTCTCTACTTTTGGTTGCCAACTTGAGACACCTTAAAGAGCCTGATTTTCGGGAAGTGCTGAGCAACTGCCCACTGAAGATGAGACCCCCTTTAAAGGTGTCTCAAGTTGGCAACCAAAAACGAAGGGTCCCAAAATCACTAGAAAAGTGTGAAGATCTATTGTCTGTGTAAGACGCAGAACTGGGGCTCAACCCTGCCCCTGTTGAATTCAGTAGCAATGTGTCTGTTGACTTTAGAGGATGTGAAATCAGGACATCATCATTTTAAACAAAGGAGAGTGTTGCCTTGCTTGACATTTATCTTGAGCGTTTTGCTTAACCAACAACAACCCCCACTGACCCAGCTTGTGCAAAAACATTTTTATGCTGAAAGGCAAAAACGAAGCTCAAAGACCGAGAGCCACTGTTGCTTTATTTGCTAGATTAGGTGCTTTTAACATATGTTACGTATAACAAGAGGAGACTTTGTATCTTAAGCAGTTCAGAAATAATCTAATACATATTTTTCCATTTAAATATATAACTGCAGTAAATGAAGTCAGTAGCCGGTAATGCCTTTTGACGTGCAATTTATTATCGTGCTGAAGTAGACTCCACGGATCTCAGAGGACACCGTTCCCTTTTAGCACTTCCAGGGAAAACAAAGCTTATTACCAATGCATGTTTAAAACTAGTATTTTTTATATGTTTTAGTGAGGAATTAATTTTCTTGCTCAGCCTTATTTCTGTCCTGCTTATAAATAGTTTGTGGGGAAGAGGGGATTGGTGGGGAGACAGTAGGTTTCCTTTGCTGATTATTCTGTGTGCACATGTGTGTGTTTGTTTCATATATTACAGGAAGCGGCCATCAGCTGCTGGGTCCAGTTCAGTGATGGATCCGTCATGCCCCTGGATATTTATGATGTCAAAGACTTCTCCTTGATGGCTACATCTCTAGATGAAAAGGTGGTCTCCATTCACCATGACCCTAAATTCAAGTGGCCTGTGATCGCTGCTGAGATGGAAGGCCAGGGGACACTGGTGAAGGTGGAGATGGTGATCAGTGAACCATGCCAGAAATCCAAAAGGAAGAGCATCCTGGCTGTTGGGAGCGGGAGCATTAAAGTCAAGTTCGGACAGAGTGACGCCAACCCTAATGTTAGCGACAGCAAGCAAAGCGGGGCTGGTGTCCACCTGGAAAATCATGCAAGCGACCGCCGTCAAAAAAACACCTTGCAGGACAGAGCTAGGCCAGATGGGCAGTATTACAGCAGCTCCTCAGTGGGCCAAATGGAAGGCAAAGGAACTACCACGGACAGGTCTATTTTAAGTAAAAAAGAGGACAGAGAAAGCCTTCTGGATGATGACAGCCATCTGCAGAACATTCCAATAGACTTCACCAGTTTCCCTGCACAGGTGGACTTGCCAAGAAGCAATGGGGACTTGGAAGAGAATGACCTTGTGCAGACACCCAGAGGGCTCAGTGATCTGGAGATAGGAATGTATGCTTTGTTGGGAGTCTTCTGCCTGGCAATCCTCGTCTTCCTTATCAACTGCGTTACCTTTGCTTTGAAGTACAGGCACAAGCAGGTCCCCTTTGAAGAGCAGGAAGGCATGAGCCACTCTCACGACTGGGTTGGGTTGAGCAACAGGACAGAGCTTCTGGAGAATCACATTAACTTCTCATCCCAACAAGATGAGTGCATCACTGCCATTGACAGAGGGGTGGACTTTGAGGAGAGCAAATATCTCCTCAGCACAAATGCCCAAACAAACATTAACGGCCAGGTCTTCAGGTCATCAGAGTCCACATTCATTGAAGGGAAAGAACAGAAAAGTGAACCGACCGCCTCTCCTACCTCCAAGCGGAAACGAGTCAAATTCACCACCTTTACCACCATCTCCTCCGACGATGGGTGCCCTACTGTCAATTCCATCCTGATGAGTAGTGAGGACGATATTAAATGGGTGTGCCAGGATATGGACCTTGGGGAATGCAAAGAGCTCAGAAACTATATGGAGAGATTACATGAGAGTGCATAACAGGACACTAAGGACCTTTTTGGTTTTTGGTTTTCACTCACCTTTCTGCCTTTAATTTTGGGTATTGGGGCAAAAAATGTGTTGGCAAATGAGAGTCAAGTGGTGGATAATACCTCAGTGGAGCCCCAGAAAGCAACCCAAAACCAGCTAAGAAAGCAGAGATCCTGGACAGCTCATACAGTTAAAGTCTTCTATGGGCTTGGAGACTGGAATAAAATGTGTGTGCGGTTTCTGATGCATGGCAACATGGAAAAATAAACCTTAGCAAAATAATAAGATCTCATTCTCTGAGCTTTCCCAGGAAATCAATAAAAATAACAAACTCCAACACAGTTTGGATATTACAAAGCTCACACAGTTCTAATGTTCAATATCACAGGCTGTGGTTAAAAGTGAAAATCGGGCTCGGAATAAACGGATCAATGAAAGGAAGCTTGTCTTTCAAGACACAAGCACAGGACATCCAGCTGAGAACGTTAATTTAAAGCTGACAGACAACTGCAGTGTGAGCAGCACAGCAACCTCAGTTGCAGAGTTATGAGTTTCCAAAGAATCTAGGAGGTTATGGGGGGAAGTGACTGAGATGGTTTACAGATCCGCATGATCACCACTGAGAATGGATACACATACAATTATATAACTGAAAGCTCTCTTTTTAAGTAGAAGCTGAGATAATAAACTTTGCTGGCCAATTTTCAGTATTTCTTAATTTGTAAAATTGGAGAAGGTATAATCTATAATCAACATACTGCTCATATAAAGGAAAGTTTGCTTTGGAAAGGTTTGAGAGACCCAGGGTCTTTTAAAGAAGTCCACTCTATCTGGTTTTCCTGTTGAAATTTGTATTCCCCAAGCATTTTCCCGGAGCACTCTCATTTGATATCCTGGGGGTAGTTATTAGCATTGATCTGCTTTGGAAGTTTGGTGGCTTTTCCCTTCCCTGAGATCCACAGTGCAGTTCTGCTAAGCACAGGAGCCATCGGAACTAATTTGGTACTTGCTTTACCAGTTGTAATTTACCGAAGTTGGCCACTCTCTCTTGGGTAAGTATAAGTTGTGCTGAACTCAGAAACCAACAGGGACCGGCTCTTTGTTCTCCTTCCTCTTTTGAGGCTAGGTTGTTCGTTTCCATTTTGATCATGCTTCTTCAGACCCACTGCTGCGCATATTTATAGGGCAGCATGAAGGCCATGGAGGAGCACTATACACCCTAATAGCTGAACGGCTAAGCTTGGTAAATAATATTTGTTTCACCCAGCGGTGATGATTGTCTTTTCTCATTCCTCTTATATGTATATATAGTAGAATTCCAGTCATTGCCCTCTGAATCTGAAGTGCCCTCCTGACCTAAAACTGGAGTCATCTGTTTGGTCCAGGATTAATCGCCAGTGGCAAAGTGCCAAGAAACTAATGTTTGGTTTGGGCCCCCAATCTCCATTTGTTTTCCAGACTGAGCCCATGCCTTTAGTTGATTACAAAGTCTCTCACAGCCACCAAACTTAGTTGTCCAATTTAATAACCCCATCCTACCCACAAACGCCTTGACTGAATCTATCTGTATTTAGAATGTATTGTAGATTGTAAGAATGTAATATATATTTATAAACATACCAACTGTGAATAAAATTTGCATTTCGGTGGGCTTCATCTTTTTTCCTACTCTGAGCTCCTCTCTCTCTTTGCATTCATTTACCATAAAAAGAGACTGTCAACAAAGTATACAACTGTCCTTTGATTAAAGGAACATGCAGATTTAAGGATCTCAGCACAATCCAATTACAAACTCTTACATCTTGTAATGTGGTGCTTTGTGTGGGGGGGAAGATAAAACAACAACGCCGACACGTTATGATTAAGTGTATTTTGCACTGAGTCACCCTTTCGAGATTTGAAACTCTTTGCAAATAACACTCATGTATATTTCTGCCTGGAAAGCCTGCTGCACGAGATGGGGGTAGTGTTCAGTTTGGGGTGGGCAGAAAGAGAGCTACAGATATTGGCCCTTGTTTCTATTTATAAACACTCCTTTGAGGACAATCCGATGAAGTGAGCTGTAGCTCACGAAAGCTCATGGTCAAATAAATTGGTTAGTCTCTAAGGTGCCACAAGTACTCCTTTTCTTTTTGCGGATACAGACTAACACGGCTGCTACTCTGAAACTTTAGAAGAGTAGCTTGGCACATCTAGAGATGGGGCAAACATACCGGGAAAATGTGGAGGATAATATTACTAGACGTAGTGTAGGCTTAGAATATCATAGTGAGTGTCTCTATACAGGTCAGGTTAATGAGGCCTCTTGCTATGTATTGGAATAATAAATCAAGACCTGTATTTTTGAAGCACACAAGTGGACACCCTCTGAGGGTTCAGTGTTCAGTCTATTAAGAGATGTTTCAATAAGAGACAAAGCAGTAGCCTAAAATTTGCCATGTGCTCAATACGCACTTTTCTGAAGCTCTACTAAAGCTTCTCCACTCATGAGCAACATGGGCTCAGAGGATCAAGGCAAAATGAGTCAAGTACAGGTCATCCTCATGGGCCAACCTTAGCACTACAATAAGTCCATTAGATCCAGATCTGGAAAGACTTGAGCAAAGAGTAATATGTCTTACAAGTTTCAGAGTAGCAGCCGTGTTAGTCTGTATCCGCAAAAAGAACAGGAGTACTTGTGGAGGGGAGAGAAAGCCATCCCATTGGTATCGGACCAGAGGAGCCTCTTGCAAGAAATGTAGTTCACAGGTGTGATGAATTACCCTGTGGCCGAGCACTGAACACACTGCATTCCTGTGGAACCATGTCCTGAGCAAGTCACTGTCAAAAGCAAATCGCTGTCATGTGGATTAAGCATTGACACTTGAGAGAAGATGGTGGCTATCCGAGTTGGATGACCAGCTTCTGTGACACAGAGCAGAGCTCCTTGTAGTCATCAGTGAAGTCGCGTTTGGAGCAGTTTGTGAGATTTCCTTACATGTGTAGGAAATGACCTACGCTAAGATCATTTAGCAGCCCCCCCATCAATGTCTCTGCCAGTGCTAAAACAATGGGGGGGACTTGTGTAGCATTGCTACTGGCCACTTTTAACTCTGTGCCGTCTAACTCTGCTCAGAGCAGATCTAGCTGGCCGTAAACATGCCTCATTCCTGTCTCTTCTACTTCTATCAATGTCGCTAGCACTCGTGGAGCTAAACCAGCAGCGAGGGGATAGCTAAATACTCCATGTACCCCAGGCCCCAGTGGCACTAATTCTCTGTTTCAACTAGAGCGAGAAATGTGTGTTTACTGAAAAATTTCTCAAATACAGGATGGAATTTCTGGTCCAAAGCAGAAGGAGAGAGAGAGAGACCCACACCTGTCTGCGATGTGGGAAATGAAGGTTCAAAGTCCCCAAGTCTCATTTACGCTAAGGCCCCTTTCCACCACTCTGGTAGTGTAAAGCCGGCCTTAAAGTGGATGTAACTCTACCTGCTGTGTCTACACTGCCCCAGGGCTACCGTGGTGCTACTGTCATGCCATTATATAGCTGCTTCCTACATCAAGACAAGGGATTTTTCTCTGGGAGCTAGTGTAACCCACACACCTCCTGGGAGTGGGGTTCTGTCCCCTCTAGTGGCACCAAGACCTCTTAGAGCAGTGCTTCTCAAACTTTTGTACTGGTGACTCGTTTCACATAGCAAGCCTCTGCGTGCGACCCGCCCCCCCCCCCCTTTTAAATTAAAAACACTTCTTTACATACGTAACACCATTATAAATGTTGGAGGCAAATTCGGGGTTTGGGGTGGAGGCTGACAGCTTGCGACTCCCCTCGTGTAATAACCTCATGACCCCCTGAGGGGTCCCAACCCCCAGTTTGAGAACCCCTGACTTAGAGAGTAATGAGTTTGCTACAGCCCTAGCTAAGGGCCACGTGGCTTTTAGCTCATGCAGTAGACGCTCATGCCTTGAGGTCCCAGGTTCAAGCCCGCCCGCCGACGACCGGAGTCTGTCGGTGTTACACTAGGTCATCCTAACTATGGCACTCAGGGCACACACTCTTTCACAGCCCTGAACAACATAGCTAGATCAATCTCATTTTTAAGGATATACCAGGGCCATCTTTTTGTTGTGTGTTTGTACAGCACCTACCACAATGGAGTTCAAAGAATAATAATAATAACGTAGCTGAGGACCAAGCCCACAGCAGCCTCCTTGCAGTAGGTGAGCGCTGAGTACACAGCGCTGGGGGACGTGTTGCCGCAGCCACAGAGTTGTTGGTTGCAACTGAATTCTTGCACACACTGTTCCTCTTGCTCCTCTTTGCAGGATGAACAAGGGTGCGCTTTGCTGTAAGATCACTTGGCTTCACACCTTGCATTTCCAAACAAAGCTGCAGCAGGAGCCTGGGGGAGTGAAACAGGGGGGATTATTTATCATTTTTGCTTTCCTGATTATCATAACTGTTAATTAATTATGCTGTTTGGCTCCTCACTCTGTACAGTCATCTCCTCACATCCTCCCAGCAGCGCTCTTAACCACAGTGGCAACAACACGCCACCTCGGCAGGAGCATCTGCTCAAATGGAGCTTATCCAGAGAACGTCTCTTTTTAAATAGCTCAGGGCAGGAACAAATAGCTCCATTCCCTGACGGACGTGCCGGGTGGCTATGGCTCTGCATCCTCCTTGCAGTGTGGGTGAAGTTCAGGGACAGCTGCTTGTTCAGGATCTCGTCACTGGATCTCCAAGACCGGGGGACTCAAGCTACATCACCAGGTGAGCTACACTGTTTCTCAGGGGAAGAGAAAAGTAGCTCAGCAGAGCAGCACCCCTGGTGGCCAATGCCTGCAACAGCATTGACCAGTGTTTCATTAAAGGTTAATTGCCCAGCAAGTCAAAGGTCTTGCTAGCAACTTGCCAGAAAACCAAGCACTTCACATCAGTTGCACATGCTAATTTAAAGTAAATATTAGCTGCTCACAACTACCATATTTGCTTGTGCTCCTGTCTCCCTTGCTCAATGGCTAAAAGAAAATCCTTTGAAGTTTTGCTCCAACAGGAGAAGAACCAGCGTTATCCCGTCTTGCAGTTGTTGGGAGAGGAAGGGTCCTGTGATTAATGCACAGGACTCGGAAGATGCAGGTTCAGTTCCCAGCTGTAGCAGCGTAAGCCCTTTGTGCTTCAGTTCTTCAACTGTCACATGGTGATGGTAATACCCCCTTTCCCGCATCTCTGTGTCTGACTTTCTTATGAAGATTGTAACGTGTTTGGGGCAGGGGCTGTCCTTACTCTGCATGTCTGCTAGGCTGCTCAACACTTTCCTCTCAGTGCTTTTTTTTTTTTTTTACAGAAAATTTTCAGCAAAACAATTTATTTTGAGGGAGGCTCCCACTCTCCTCAAAAAAAAAAATTGATTTTTTTTTGTTGGAAGACAGGAAACCGGAAAAATTTCAGCCAAAAACTGGGGGAAGAGGAAAGGGTGTTCATCAGTTTACTGTTGAGATTTTCAGCTGTCTTTGGCCAAACAATTTTGGTTTTCAACCAAAAAAAAAAATCAATTTGGGCAGGTTTATTTTTTGACCAAAAAGATCAAAATTTCCCAGTGAAAGTTTTGGTGAAAATGATTGGTTTTTTTTTTCATTTTTGTCAAATTTTCCCCAGGAAAAATTCCATATCCAGCTCTAATATGCAGCACCTGGCAAACTGGGGCACGGATTTCAGCTGGGGCTTTTAGATGCTACTATAATAATACAAATTAGTAATAACAGAGGTAGCCAAGAGTCAGAGTTTAAGACCTTGGGAGCTGTGTTGGGCCCTCATGTGGCATTAGGGGTACAGCAGCCTTTAGAAGTCAGAGAGCCGAGAAGACGGGAGGCAGGGTGGAATGGTTTGGTCTGGCTTTAGAGGCTTTCCGCATTAACACAGGCAAGATTAACAGTTCAATTGTGCTATAAATCAGGTAAGCTGCTGCTTTGCTTCATCTCTCCCTCCTTTCTAAGGTTTCTTCTTCAGCAGCTTCCACATACTTAGTGGGTAAGAATAAGCTGCCTTAGTCCCTCAGTGAACTTGAAGATCTGAGATGATGACACTAAAGACTTGGTTCAGAGTTCTCTGTGGGTAGCAGACTTTTCAAAAAAGAATTAACTCCATCTGCAGCCCTGCACGAAGCAACTCTAGGAACGACTTTCACTCCTTGTGTAGGTCATGGATGAGATGTCAGTTAAATGCTGTGGTGAATGAGGAGGCTGGCGGCAGTTCAGATCAGCAGTGTGTGTGTATGTTCAACTTCTCTAGGCCCTCTGCTCTGCAGGAGTTCCTTGTGGCAAACTAGCCCTTTCATAAGTGTTGATGGGATCAATATGCCTCCTCGTACACCAAAACTCGAAGGTGAGTCCTTTGCATGTGTCTCAGGATGGGCTGGTGGTTTGAATTACTCATGTATTGATCTGGCAAAGCCCAGTGATGCTAGGGAGGAAATAAGGCATACATTTCTATGAGTGAGGGTAATTAACCACTGGAACAATTTATCGAGGGTCATGGTGGATTTTCTGTCCCTGGCCATTTTTAAAATCAAGATTAGATTGTTTTAAAGGATTTCTAAAAGGAATTCTGTTGGGGAAGTTCTCTGGCCTGTGTTATACAGGAGGTCAGACTAGATGGTCACAATGGTCCCTTCTGGCCTTGCAATCTCTGA